ATTCTCCTGCCACAGCTTCTCAAGTAGCTGGAATTACAAGGTGCCCCCCACCATATCCAGCTAATTTTTATATTTTTAGTAGAGATGTGGTTTCACCATGTTGACCAGGCTGGTCTCCAACTCCTGACCTCATGTGATCCACCTGCCTTAGCCTCCCAAAGTGCTGGGATTACAGGTGTGAGCCACTGCGCCCGGCCCCAGCTTAGTTTTTTAAAAAGTTTACTTTAAGTTTACTTTATAGGCTCATGCCTATAATCCAAGCACTTTGGAGGCCAACGAGGGCGGATCACCTGAGCTCAGGAGTTCGAGATCAGCCTGACCAACATGGTGAAACCCCGTATTAAAAAAAAAAAAAAAAAAAAAAAAAAGGCTGGGTCAGCGTAGCCATGGCGTCTCCTGGCCTTTCCTCCTGTGTCCACTGCCTGCCTGCAGCCTTCCCGCCGCCGCCCCAGGTCTCCATGCTGGCCGCCGCCCAGCCTTTCAGCACCAATCTGTGCTCTGCGGGGACCCGGACAAGGCCCGGGCCTTCGCCACCGGCCTCGGTGTTTGCGCAGGTTCCGGGTAGAGTTACACAGCTGTGCTGCCAGTATTGCGAAGCACCCCCTTTGACATTAGAGGGCATCCAGGACCATGTTCGTTACGTATTGAAACTCTATGACAAGACTGACCCAGAGAAGCTTTCCGTAAATTCTCATTTTATGAAAGACCTGGGCTTAGACAGTTTGGACCAAGTGGAGATTATCATGGCCATGGAAGATGAATTTAGGTTTGAAATTCCTGATTTAGATGCAGAAAAGTTAATGTGTCCACAAGAAATTGTAGATTACATTGCAGATAAGAAGGATGTGTATGAATAAAGTATCAGACCCTTTAACTTTGTTGAGAGAAGACGCAGATGATACTGATGAATGTCTGGCGGTGAGGACACAGTTCGGTATTATTGCTGGCTCTGACAGAGTAATTCGGAGGGACTTGTATTTAAATTGTTTAAGTGTTTTTCTCTTTGAAAATAAATCTATAAAACCAAAAAAACAGGCCGGGCGCGGTGGCTCAAGCCTGTAATCCCAGCACTTTGGGAGGCCGAGGCGGGTGGATCACGAGGTCAAGAGATCGAGACCATCCTGGTCAACATGGTGAAACCCCGTCTCTACTAAAAATACAAAAATTAGCTGGGCATGGTGGCGCGTGCCTGTAATCCCAGCTACTCAGGAGGCTGAGGCAGGAGAATTGCCTGAACCCGGGAGGCGGAGGTTGCGGTGAGCCAAGATCGCGCCATTGCACTCCAGCCTGGGTAACAAGAGCGAAACTCCGTCTCAAAAAAAAAAACAAAAACAAAAAACAAAACAAAGTTTACCCACTCTAATAGGTGTATAGTGATATCTAATAGTGCAATTTCCTGCATTTCCTTAATGTTTGTTAGGCATTTTTTTCCCATGTGCTTAGTTGCACAACCATCTCTATAGTGTCTTCGATGAAATGTCTGTTCAAATATTTTGTGCACTTTAAAAAATTGGGTTTTCTCACTGTTCAGTTTTGTTTGGTTGGTTTTTATTTTTATTTTTATTTTTTTGAGACAGAGTTTCGCTTTTGTTGCCCAGACTGGAGTGCAGTGGCATGGTCTCAGCTCACTGCAACCTCTCCCTCTCAGGTTCAAGCGATTCTCCTGCCTCGGCCTCCCAAGCAGCTGGGAGTGTAGGCGCCTGCCACCACACGCAGCTAATTTTTTTTGTAGTTTCAGTAGAGACAGGGTTTCACCATGTTGGCAAGGCTGGTCTCAAACTCCTGACGTCGGGTGATCTGCTCGCCTCGGCTTTCTAAAGTGATGACAGGAGTGAGCCAAGCCTATTTACACAGGTGGGGCCTTTTTCTGTCACCCAGGCTGGGGAGCAGTGGTGCAATAGCAGTTCACTGCAGCCTTGAATTCCTGGGCTCAAGCAATCCTCCCACCTTAACCTTTTTTTTTTTTTTTTTTAAACACAGAGTCTTGCTCTGTCGCCCAGGCTGGAGTGCAGTGGCCCAATCTCAGCTCACTGCAACCTCCGTCTCCTGGGTTCAAGCAATTCCCCTGCCTCAGCCTCCTGAGTAGCTGGGACTACAGAAGCGGGCCACCACACCTGGCTAATTTTTTGTATTTTAATAGAGACAGGGTTTCACCATGGCCAGGATGGTCTCAATCTCCTAACCTCATGATCTGCCTGCCTTGGCCTCCCAAAGTGCTGGGATTACAGCTGTGAGCCACCGCGCCTGGCTGGGTTTCTTATTTATTTATTTTGAGACAGAGTCTCCCTCTACCACCCAGGCTGAAGTGCAGGGTGCAATCTTGGCACACTGCAACCTCTGCCTCCTGGGTTCAAGTGATTTTCCTGCCTCAGCCTTCTGAGTAGGTGAGATTACAGGCATGCACCACAATGCCCAGCTTAATTTTGTATTTTTAGTAGAGGCAGGGTTTTGTTTTTTTTTTGTTTTGTTTTGTTTTTTGTTTGTGTGTGTGTGTGTGTGTGTGTGTGTGTGTTTTGTAGAGTCAGGGTTTCACCATGTTTGTCAGGCTTGTCTTGAACTCCTGACCTTGTGATCCTCCAACCTCAGCCTCCCAAAGTGCTGGGATTATAGGTGTGAGCCACGGTGCTTGGCTTTTTTTTTTTTTTTTAATTCATTCTGGTAAAATCTTTTAATTATTTTGTTTAGATCATTTACACATAATTGTTGATATGTTTGGAGTTGTGTCTACCTTTTTCTGTTTAGTTTTCTTTCTTTCTAAGAAATGAGATCTTGTGTAGGGCACAGTGGCTCAACGCCTGTAATCCTAGCACTTTGGGAGGCCGAGGCAGGCGGATCACAAGGTCAGGAGTTTGACACCAGCCCAACTAACATGGTGAAACCCCGTCTCTACTAAAAATACAAAAAAATTAGCCAGGCGTGGTGGTGTGTACCTGCAATCCCAGCTACTGGTAACGCCGAGGCAGGAGAATCGATTGAACCTGGGAGGGAGAGGTTGCAATGAGCTGAGATCGCACCACTGCACTCCAGCCTGGGCAACAAGAGCAAAACTCCATCTCAAAAAAAAAAAGTGGGGGGTGGTGGTCTTACTTGTTGCCTAGGCTAGTCTTGAACTGCTAGCTCAAATAATCCTCCTGCCTCAGCCTCCCAAAGTGGGGGATTATAGGCATGAGCCACTGTGCCTGGCCTAGTCCACGTTTTCCTTGTTTTCTGTTGTTTTCTTTTTCTCTTGGTGTCCCTTTGCTTCACTTTCCTGGCTTCTTCTGGGTTGAAATATTTTTAGAGTCCCATTTTAATTTCTTTATTGGGTTTTTAAAAAGGAAATTGTATCTCTTGGTTGAGTGCGGTAGCTAATGCCTGTAATCCTAGCACTTTCGAAGGCTGAGATGGGTGTATCACCTGAGGTCGGGAGTTTGAGACCAGCCTGACCAACATGATGAAACCCCCCTCTCTACTAAAAATACAAAATTAGCTGCAAGTGGTGGTACATGCCTGTAATCCTAGCTACTCAAGAGGCTGAGGCAGGAGAATTGCTTGAACCTGGGAGGCAAAAGGTGCAATGAGCCGAGATCACACTATTGCACTCCAGCCCGGGTGACAAAAAAGAAAAAAAAAATTAAGTATGCATCCTGTAATCACTAGAGACTTCACTAAAAAAAAAAAACTATGCAAAGATATATACTTCTTTCTTTTCGTTTTTTTTGATATGGAGCTTCACTCTTGTTGCCCTGGTCGGAGTGCAGTGGTGTGATCTTGGCTCACTGCAACCTCTGTCTCCCAGGTTCAAGCAATTCTCCTGCTTCAGCCTCCTGAATAGCCGGGATTACAGGCGTGTGCCACCACGTGGGGCCAATTTTGTACTTTTAGTAGAGATGGGGTTTCACCATGTTGGTTAAGCTGGTCTCAAACTCGTGACCTCAGGTGATTCACCCACTTCGGCCTCCCAAAGTGCTGGGATTACAGGCGTGAGCCACCGTGCCTGGCCATTTTTTGTATTTTTAGTAGAGACAGGATTTCGCCAGGTTAGTCTCAAACTCCTGAGCTCAAGTGATTCATCCACCTCAGTCTCCCAAAGAGCTAGGACTACAGGTGTGAGCCACCGCACCTGGCCTCCAGCCATATTTTAAAGATAAAATGTGTGTGCAATCTCTATTACTATCATTAATTCCCAAAGTTCCAGCTTTCCCTCTAATATCATTTCCCTTCTACCAAGAGTTTTTTATTTTAACCATTTCTTTTCAACCAGGCTTGCTGGCAAGATGTATATCTATCTTAGGTTTGCTTTGCTTGAGGGTTTGTATTTTGCCTTTGTTCTTGAAGTGTGTTTGCAATGGATATAGAATTATGGGTTGAGTGGTTTTTTTTTTTTTCTTCAAAATGTTCTTTTTCTTTCTTTTTTGAGATGGAGTGTTGCTCTTGTTGCCCAGCCTGGAGTGCAATGGCACAATCTCAGCTCACTGCAACCTCTACCTCCTGGGTTCAAGCGATCCTCCTACCTTAGCCTCCCAAGTAGCTGGGATTGCAGGCATGCGCCATCACGCCTGGCTAATTTTTTGTATAAAATGTTCTTTGCCCTCTAGCCTCGATAGAATTTCTGAGAAGTGTATTATCTCCCTAATGTAATGCATAATTTTTCTGTTTTCAAAATTTTAGAATTTTAGTTTTCAGCAGAACATGATGTGTCTGGGCATGGATTTGATTATGCTCTTTTGGAGTTCATTGTTTTTGAACTTGTAAATTTATGATTTATTTATTTGTTATAAATAAATAAGAGCTTCGCTTGTTGCCCAGGCTGGAGTGCAATGGCGCAATCTCGGCTCAGTGCAGCCTCTGCCTCTGAGGTTCAAGCAATTCTCCTGCCTCAGCCTCCCAAGTAGCTGGAATTACAGGCCCGGTTAATTTTTGTATTTTTAGCAGACGACAGGTTTTTACCATGTTGATCAGGCTGGTCTCAAATTCCTGACTTTGTGACCCACCAAAGGTGCTGGGATTACAGGCGTGAGCCTCTGCCCCATATCATTTCTAAAGAACGTATGGCTGGGCCAGAAATGAATTCAATCTGTTGGAATTGCTCTGTACACTTGGTTTGCTCAGTACAGTAATGTTTATTGAAATTGCTGACATATTTGGATGTGCTGTCACATCCCGGTGCTTGCATTTCCTGGCAGTGACTTTGGCCAGTCAGTTATATTTGCCATGTTACTTCCTCCTCTATAAAAAGGGGATGGTTGTGTGATGATTAAGTGAGATGTATATAAATTATTTGGTAGACTGACCAGCAAACATAGGCTCTCACTAGATTCCCTTTTTTCTCCGTTTTAAACAGACATGGACAGACACATCTCACAACCAAAAGATGCTCAGAACATCAAGGGGATGGAGATTCAGTTCTTGTGACAGAGACTGAGCAAGTGGTGGGCAGAGAGGTGCTGATGACTGCTGCAAGTCAGAGCCAGTGTCCAGGGCCAGGCTCTGTGTCTGGCACTACACAAGGTGGGTCTTGTCCCTGGTTTACAGATGAGAAGGTCATGGAGGTTCAGGAAAGTCACTTAACCTTAGGTCCCTAAAGTAGCCACAGGAAGGAGTGAGGCTTTGGAGCCTGACTTCAGGCCCATGCCTATTCTGTTCACTGAAGCCTGCTGGAAGCCTGTGCAGTCATTTCACTGGGAATGTGCATGTCTCCTGTCTTGAGTTTCCCCTTAAGCCTGTCACCCCGCTGTCTCTCAATCTCTGCCACACGATATGTGGCAGTCTCTGCCTGTGTCTGGGACTCCCTCAGAGATACTTCACAAGGTCTCTGTCTCCGAGTCTTACCTTTATGGTACGAACCTTTCCCACTAGTCTTTGTGACTCTGTTTACTCTTGGCATAGAGGGAATGAGCCCCAAACACAGGGAGAGATGGTGACAGTGACTAGTACACAATACGGCAGGTCAAACAGTTCACATAAGACCATCACAGAGCCGGGCATGGTGGCTCAAGCCTGTAATCCCAGCACTTTGGGAGGCTGAGGCGGGTGGATCACGAGGTCAAGAGATCAAGACCATCCTGGTCAACATGGTGAAACCCCGTCTCTACTAAAAATACAAAAAATTAGCTGGGCATGGTGGCGTGTGCCTGTAATCCCAGCTACTCAGGAGGCTGAGGCAGGAGAATTGCCTGAACCCAGGAGGCGGAGGTTGCGGTGAGCCGAGATCGTGCCATTGCACTCCAGCCTGGGTAACAACAGCAAAACCCCGTCTCAAAAAAAAAAAAAAAAAAAAAAAGACCATCAACAGAAACAGAGGCATCAAGAATGACACCCTTCTAACAGGAATGAATAGAAGCTGCTACATCCAGTTATAGACATGGACCCTAAACATGGGATAAGGATGCAGAACTGTGAGAGGCGGCCAGACAGCACATGCAGAGTGCTGGCAAATACTAAGCTCCATGACACCAGGGGGACCTGGGGCCCTAGAAAGAGAAGACTCAGTACAGTAACATTTTATTGAGACCACTGCATGCCAGGCTTACCTGGGTGCTGGCCCCCAGGAAAATCAGATGGTTCTTACTCTGCAGGGTTCAAGCTGCTGGGGAGACATCCATGAAAACATATGTAAGGACAGTGTGGGGCAGAGCATGGTGAGTACCTCCTGGAAGGCATCAGTCACGTGCATGCAAGAGACGTTAGTCAAGGCCTGTTGAGTCTTGTGTGTTATAGATTCTCAGAGTAAGACATGGCCCCTGCTCTCAGGAGCTCATAGTATCCTTGGAAAAAACATACTATAAGCTCTACAAGGAGCAAATAAGTAAAACAACGTGGTAGGAGGTGTAAGGGCAGTAACTAGGAGGTGCTCTGGAAGCAGAGAGGGCAAGCTGCAGTCTGCTCCAGGAGATCAGGGAGGCTTCTTTGGGAGACACTTGAAACATCTTAGATAAAAAAGGAGAGGAGGGTTCCAGGCACAAGTACAAAGGCACATAGGTGGGGAAAATGTATGGTTCCTTCAGGAACCACAGTAGTTCATGGGGCTGGTGTATGGAAGGTGGAGCCATGGTATGAGATGAGGCCGTTTTACATCCCTGTGCACACAGAAAAATGACAGTATTCATAAACGAATATGAGGATAACTGGAAAGGTTGCTCACGGCCCAGAACGACCTATCTCAGCATACTTATACCCTGTTCAGGAAGCTCTCCTGTAGAAGGTGACGGATTAGAGAGCTTTCCTCCATGGAGTGACACAATCAGATTTGGTAACAGGAGTCTCCTGGAGAGTGACAGAGGAGCAGAGAACAAAGGCAGGAAGGGGTCAGGAAGGAGACTCCTGCCATAATCCAGGCAAGGGGCAATGAGGGCTCACGTAAGGTAACAGCAGTGGAAAAGGAGATGAATTAGAGATGAGCTTTAGGTGAAACCAACGGGGCTGGTGACTGGTGGGATACGGAAGGAAAAGGAGAGACACAGGATGTGCAGGTGTCAAGCAGCACTGCTGATGAAGACAGGAAACCAGGAGAGAGGCAGAGGGTGTGGAGAAGGCATCACAGAAGAGGTGGCCTCACAAGTCAGCCTTGGAGCCAGGCACAAAATAGGCTAGAATGGAAACAGGAGGTGCCAAGGCACAGAGGTGGGCATGGCAGGTGTCCCTTCTGGGCTAAGCAGCAGAAAAGCAGGCAAGAAGAGTCACATGAGAACAAGCCGCAGTCGGCCTGGCCAGAGCATCTTGGGATGGAGTTCCGAGACACGAGTCTCCACGTGCCCTGGCCCTCAGAACCAATCTCAATCCTTGGCTCAGCTGCCTTCTCTCTGGGACAGCCTTGAGTAGGAAATAGAGGGTAGGTAGCGGGGCAGGGCCCTTCTTGAAGCTTCTCCAGCTGGCCTGAATCGCTTTGTGCTCATCGGGGGTCCTCAAATGCAGAGTTGTTCCTGGACCCCAGAGGTTGCCCTTAGGCACCTCTCATTTCCGCAACTCATCCATCACCCACCCTGTTTGTTGCTCTTGAGGAACTCAGTGTTTCTCTTAGATGTTGAGCCTCAAGAAGAGGCTGTGCTATGGCCCCAGGGGCTACTTCCAGTCACTGCAGTACCGTGATGTGGATCCGCAGGTGAACCATAAGGGCTGAGCTGCGGCTAAAGGCTTTTCCACAGTCACTGCACTTGTAAGGCTTCTCTCCTGTGTGGATCCTCTGGTGCTCAATGAGGGAGGAGCTCTGTGCAAAGGCCTTTAGGACAAACCTTACACTGATACGGCTTCTCTCCAGAATGGATTCTCAGATGTCGGATCAGGGCTGAGCAGTCGCTGAAGGCTCTCCCACATGCATCGCACTTGTAGGGCTTCTCCCCGGTGTGGATGCGCTGGTGCTGAGTCAGGTGCGTGCTCTGGCTGAAGGCCTTCCCGCACTCGTCACACTCGTAGGGCCGCTCCCCGGTGTGCACCCGCTGGTGCTGGGTCAGGTGAGTGCTGCGGCTGAAGGTTTTACCACACTCCCCACACTTGTAGGGCTTCTCTCCAGTATGAATCCTTTGGTGCTGAGTCAGGTGGGTGACCCGGCTGAAGGCCTTCCCACATTCCTTACACTCATGGGGCTTCGCCCCTGTGTGGACAACCTGGTGCTGGGCAAGGTGAGTGCTCCGGCTGAAGGCTTTCCCACACTCGACGCAGGCATATGGTGTCTTCCGAGAATGGGACTTCTGGTGCGCCTCGAGTGCTGAAGCACTCTGGAACATTTTCCTACACTCGTGACACTTGGCAGACTTCTTCCCTGAGTATGTATGTGGAGGCTCTGTCCCATAAGCATCCACCAGATCAAATTTCTCTTCTGAAGGAGCCTTCTCTTGGGAGGTAACGTTTGGCCACACACTAGAACTGTCCCTCAAGGCAGCAGGTTCACTGCCAGGCTGTTCTGTAGGGGCATCCTTGTAAGGCCCTGAAGTTTTCTTGAAACTGATATGTTGGGTGATAGACTTTGTCCAGATCTCTGCTGACAGTCCAGACCTTCTCTCTGAGCTGACCTCGGGTTCACAGGCCTTGACAAAGGTGGGTCGGAGGGAAACACCTCCCGTGAGGGTCTCAGTGACCATGTTTGATGGCTCTGACTCTCCCAGGTCACTCTGCTTGCAGCTTGCCTCTGTGAGCTCGGCTTCAGGATCCCATCCTGAAACAATCCCAACCACAGCATTACTACTCCTGCCACACCAAGTCTCCCCAACTCTGCTGAGGGCCCTGGCCACACTTTGTAAGGCGAGATGTGGCCTGTTCCTAACATTTGGCCCCATTTCCAAGGGGAAGTTTCTTATTTGGTGTCCTGATGACAAAAGGGTGCGGGGCTGTCCTCCCACACCATCCATCCAAAACTGCATCACGGGTTCTGATTTTTCCTCCTTCCACCAAACTCTCTATCTTTCAAGGCTCCCAATTTTGGCTCAAGAATCAGAAGAGAGACCCTAATGTGGAACTGATCTGAAAGACAGCAAGGCTGGGCGCGGTGGCTCACACCTGTAATTCCAGCACTTCAGGAGGCCAATGCAGGAGGATCACAAGGTCAGGAGTTCAAGACCAGCCTGGCTAACATGGTGAAACCCACCTCTACTAAAATACAAAAATTAACTGGGTGTGGTGGCGCATGCCTGTAATCCCAGCTACTCAGGAGGCTGAAGCAGGAGAATTGCTTGAATGCAGGAGGCAGAGATTGCAGTAAGTTGAGATCATTCCACTGCACTCCAGCCTGAGCAACAGAGCAAGACTCTGTCTCAGGAAAAAAAAAAAAAAAAAAAAAAAAAAAAAAAGTATGAAGCTAATACAGAAAAACCCATCTGAGAGACAGAACAAAAGAGAAAGAAGAGAGTTCTGATGCTGTCATCAGATCTTCTGGATATAGCCATATATGATGCCTCCTTACTGTTCTTTGCTTCAGCTAATTTGAGCTGCATTTTTGGTCACCTGGAATCAAAGCACACCTGTCTACTACAGTGTGTGAGAGTTCGTGTAAAGTACAAATGTGAGAATGAGGACATGAGGAACCCCAAACCCCCTGTGCTCCCGTGTTCCAGTCCAGGGTGTACTTCGAGTGTGCTGTGAATCTGCCCATAGCCCCCCTTTACCTCTCTTGTCCAGCACCTTAGTCAGATCCTTCACCAGCACAGCAGCTTCTTCTCCATTCTTGGGGCTCTGGGCTCCCACCCAGGCTTGGATCTCGGGGGGCAGCGCACCCAGGAACTGCTCCAGCACCAGCAGCTCCAGTATCTGCTCCTTGGAGCGCACCTCAGGCCGCAGCCACTGAGAGCACAGCTCTCGGAGCTGGGCCAGGGCCTCATGTGGACTGGATGCCTCCTCATAGCGGAAGTGCCGGAAGCGCAGGCGGGCAGCCTCAGGGTGAGCTGACGTGGTCAAGACTGGATTCTTGGCCCTGGAGGAGGCTGGCTTCCTCTTCCTCCTCTACCTTCACTTGAAGGAAGCTGTCCTCTTCCCATGGTACTGGGCTCAGGGAGTGCTTGGGGATGGCCATCGGGCAGCGGTGCTCAGTGATACATAGGATACTGAAGCCTTGGACCTGAGCCTGCAGAAATGTCAGAGTTTCATCACGTGGAACCTGGGGCCCTGCCTCATGCCTGCAGAGCAGGGGAAACACAGGCTTCGGGCCTGTGAGATGTGAAACACTCTGACTGAGACATAGACAATCATAATAATTAGGACAGCACCCACTTGGTGCTGAGCAGTATTCTCAGTTACTACTGCTTGCATGTAGACTCATTTAAAACTTACAACAAACTCGGGCGGTGAGGACTTTCTACCTATTCTATGGGTGTAAAAACAAGTAATACAAAGGGAAAAGACTTGCCCAAAGACCCTCAACTAGTGAAAGGTTAGCAGAGAGGTTAACCTACAAACCCAGGCAAACCTACAGCCAGGCTGTTTAAGGCATGCTCCTCCCCGACGGAGCCAAGTCTTTCTCCTCTGTCTCACATTCCCCAGGTAGCCACATGGTCATTCTCTCACTTTATTTGCTAATTATTTTGTAGTATTCAAGACTGATACTTACATAATTGACTTTCAGCCTTTCTTCTTCTTTTTCTTTTTTTTTTTTTGAGACAAAGTCTCACTCTGCTGCCCAGCCTGGAGTGCAGTGGCGCAATCTCGGCTCACTGCAACTCCGCCTGTCGGATCCAAGCGATCCTCCTGCCTCAGCCTCCCGAGTAGCTCGGACTACAGGCACCCACCACCACACACAGCTGATTTTTGTATTTTTAGTAGACACGGGGTTGCACCATGTTAGCCACGATGGTCTTGATCTCCTGACCTCCTGATCCACCCGCCCCGGTCTCCCAAAGTGCTGGGATTACAGCATTAGCCACAGCACCTGGCCAGCCTGTCTTCTCTTCTAATGCACATATTTAAGGCTATAAATTTCTCTCTAAACACAGCTTCAGCTGTACACCACAAGTTTGATATGTTGTATCTTCATTATCATTTAAAAATATTTTCTAATTTCTGTTAGACTTTCTACTTTACCCATTAATTACTTTTTAAATTTTATTTTATTTTTTTGAGACGAAGTCTCAGTCTGTCACCCAGGCTGGAATGCAGTGGCGCAATCTAGGCTCACTGCAACCTCCGCCTCCTGGGTTCAAGCAATCCTCCTGCCTCAGCCTCCTGAGTAGCCTGGACTACAGGTGTACACCACCATGCCAGGCTAATTTTTGTATTTTTAGTAGAGATGGGGTTTCACCATGTTGGCCAGGCTGGTCTCAAACTCTTGACCTCAAGTGATTTGCCTGCCTTGGCCTCCCAGAGTGCTGGGATTACAGGTGTGAGCAACCGTGGCCAGTCCCATTGGTTATTTAGAACATTTCTGCTTCATTGCCAAACAGTTGGGGATTTTCCAGTTGTCTTTTTATTACTGATGTCTAGTTTAAGTCTATTGTGGTCAAAAAACATACTATGATGGGTTCTGATCATTTAAAATTTGCTGAAACTTGGTTTGTGACCCAGTGTATGGTTAATTTTGGTTAATGTTCCATGCATACTTGAAAATAATGCAAAGCCTTCTTAGCTATGACACCAAAAGCGTTAAGTGACAAAAGAGAAAATAAAACTCGACTTCAACAAAATTAAAAGCTTTTGTGATGTGAAGGACCACATTAAGAAAATGAAAAAGCAGGCCGGGCGCGGTGGCTCACACCTGTAATCCCAGCACTTTGGGAGGCCGAGGCGGGTGGATCATGAGGTCAAGAGATCGAGACCATCCTGGTCAACATAGTGAAACCCTGTCTCTACTAAAAATACAAAAATTAGCTGGGCATGGTGGCGCGTGCCTGTAATCCCAGCTACTCAGGAGGCTGAGGCAGGAGAATTGCCTGAGCCCAGGAGGCGGAGGTTGCAGTGAGCTGAGATTGCGCCATTGCACTCCAGCTTGGGTAACAAGAGCGAAACTCTGTCTCAAAAAAACAACAAACCAAAATAAATAATTTTTTTTTTAATTTTTAACAAAAATTAAAAAAAAAAAAGTGAAGAAGCAGCCCACAGAGTGGGAGAAAATATTTGCAAATCATATATCTGATAAGGAACCTCTATCTAGAACAACTCCACAGTAAAAGACGAATAATACAATTTAAAAATGAGCAGAGGATTTGACCAGACATTTCTCCAAGGAAGATATACAAATAGACAATAAATACATGAAAAGATGCTCAACATCATTAGCTACCAGGGAATTGCAAATCAAAACCACAATGAGATAGCACTTCACACCTGCTGCGATGTCTATAATCAGACAGATAACGTGTGTAGACAATGGTATGGAGAAACCATAATCCTCATATGCTGCTGCTGGGAATGTAAGATGGGATAGCCACTGTGGGAAATACAGTCTGGTCGTTCCTCAAAAGATTAAACAGAGTTACCCCATGACCTAGCAATTCTACATATCTACCCAAAAGAAATGAGAACACGTCCTCACAAAAAGCTATACACAATGTTCATAACAGCATTACTCCTAACGGCAAAAAAGCAGGAACAATCCAAATGTCCGTCACCTGATGAATAAAGAAAATGCTGTATATACATACAATGGAACCTCGAAAACATGATGCCAAGTAAAAGAAGCCAGACACGGCTAGGTGCAGTGGCTCATGCCTGTAATCCCAGCACTTTGGGAGGCCTAGGCAGGCGGATCACCTGAGGTCAGGAGTTTGAGACCAGCCTGACCACCACGGTGAAACCCTGTCTCTACTAAAAATACAAAAATTAGCCAGGTATGGTGGCGCATGCCTGTAATCCCAGCTACCCAGGAGGCTGAGGCAGGAGAATTGCTGGAACTCAGGAGGCAGAGGCTGCAGTGAGCTGGTATCACGCCACTGCACTCCAGCCTGGGCGACACAGCAAGACACCCTGTCAAAAAAAAAAGTATCCTGAGAGTGACAGTGTAATTAAAAAAAAGAAAGCCAGACACAGAAGACTACATATTGTCAGATTTCACTGATATGTGTCCAGAACATGCAAATCCATGAAAGTAGAAAGCGTAACAGGGTTTGCCAGAGGCTGACGGGGGATGAAAATAGGGAGTAGTCGCTAATGGGCACAGAGGTTTCAGGATAAAAATGCTCTGGAATTAGATAAGGGTGATGATTGTACAACCTTCTGAGTATACTAAAAACCACCAAATTGAACACTTTATTTATTATTTTTTTGAGACAGAGTCTTACTTTGTCACCCAGGCTAGAGTGCAAAGGCACCATCTCAGCTCACTGCAACATCCACCATCCGGGTTCAAGTGATTCTTCCTCAGCCTCCTGCGTAGCTGGAATTACAGGTACCCGCCACCATGCCCAGCTAATTTTTGTATTTTAATTTAATAAATAAATTAATTTTTTGAGATAGAGTTTCGCTCTTATTGGCCAGGCTGGAGTGCAATGGCGCCATCTCAGTTCACTGCAACCTCCGCCTCCTGGGTTCAAGTGATTCTCCTGCCTCAGTCTCCTAAGCAGCTGGAATTGCTGGCACCCGCCACCACGCCCAGCTTATTTTTTATATTTAATAGAGACAGGGTTTCGCCATGTTAGCCAGGCTGGTCTTAAACTCCTGACCTCAGGTGATTCGCCTGCCTTGGTATCCCAAAATGCTGGGATTACAGGTGTGAGGCATGGCGTCTAGCCTAATTTTTGTATTTTTAGTAGAGATGGGGTTTCACCATGTTGGCCAGGCTGGTCTCGAACTCCCGGCCGTAAGTGATCTGCCTGCCTTGGCCTTCCAAAGTGCTGGGATCACAGATGTGAGCCACCATGCCTGGCCTGAACACTTTGAAATGGTAGGTTTTATGATATGTGAATCATATCTCAATAAAACTTTTAAAAAATAATGTCGCCGGGCGCGGTGGCTCAAGCCTGTAATCCCAGCACTTTGGGAGGCCGAGGCGGGGGGATCACGAGGTCGAGAGATCGAGACCATCCTGGTCAACGTGGTGAAACCCCGTCTCTACTAAAAATACAAAAAACTAGCTGGGCGTGGTGGCGCGTGCC